TGACAGGACTGGCTACCACGCCTCCAGTGGAGAATTAACTGCTATCAATATGAGCATCAATTGATGAAACTCAATCATGTCTTCTGACCGACACGATTGGCGCTAATATTCACAGCGCTCATGCCGGCATCCAGACTATCGTTCCTGCTGACGCTATGATGTAGGGGCAGTTTCCTCTCAACGCAAAAAGACATTACCGTATTTTAAAGTACGCATGCGTTTAACTCCGCGCATCCGATGATGAGAACGAAGAGGCTGTGTAGGAAAGAATTTGGTGGTTGTGGTGATGGTGATGGTGGTGGTGGTGGTGGTGGTGGTGGTTGTTGCAATCGCGTTGTTTCGCTGACGCCCCGGTGTTGTCTGACTTGGTTGTAATTGCGACGATTCTTTCGAGGATACTTGCCAAAATGCTGGACTACGTTTTGGATTTGGAAGGGTTATTTAGATGGGGCTGTAATACAGATTATCATGCGGCATAGTCCTATAATATTTGTCAGCTTTTTAACGCCCTTCTTGAAAAAAATGACAACTTGCATAGCATGAATTTTCACATTGATTTTCGATGGTCTTGCAAATTTAAATATATTTTATAAAACATGGACAACAATACGCTTTCTTTTGACCGTACGGTAGAGAATCACGTCATCTTCATATTGTTTTACTCGAAGAGGGATGAAACTAGGGTTTAAAGTGCTTCTAATTATGAGATTTTTTTAAGGCCGTGCAATGTCTATTCATACAGCATCGGACCTGTCCGTTTACCACTACTCCTCATGAAATTTGCAACATAGTCCGCATAGAAGAACATATGATTTTCCTTGCGCGAAACGCACGCTGCTTATAGGCTAAAATACATAAGCGTTAATGCAACGACTAATCAGGCTCCAAATTATTCGGAAATTGGGAAACTTTCTAAAAACCTAACTATTCTTCCTCAGGTATAAAATATAAAGATGCGTGGTTCTCTATCAAACAAATAAAAGAAAGCATATTTTGACCATGTCTTTTATAAAGTATATTTGAATTTATAAAACGATGTGGAATCAATGTGGAAAATGCAGACCACGTAAGTAGGCATTTTTTTACCGAGCACGGTTTCTACAGGCGATGGAGAAGAAATGAATTAAAAAGCCCTCATCCTGCTGAGCGTTAGGCGAATAAAACTACTGTTTCAGCAGTCGCGTATCCTTCGTCCGCAGTAAAGCAGATGAAGCGTGTCTGCAAACGAATCTGCGTCGATAGGAGCACCGGACAAAACACTGACTCATGTCATTCAATGTTGACAGGTGCTGCATTCGGCGGATCGGCAGAACAAGCCGTTCAAATTGGAGAATGTATTATCCCAGCACACACACACACACACACACACACACACACACACACACACGGCAGTTCGACCGTCGATTTCGACGATGTCCACCGTGTGTCCCACAGCTGCAGCAGCGGTGGAAGCAGGGACGGTGACTTGCGCAGGGGTTTATAGTGCCAGTAGACTTGCGCTGCATCTACCTACACTCTCTCCTCCTCCCCGCCTGGGCCCTGCGTCAAGACCAAGTCAAGAAGACCGGAGACGAGGGAAGCCGCAGGTGGATGGCTCGGACGGATCCTCGCCTTGGCGTTCCACCACACCCCCTGGTTCACACAACAAATGACCAGGAGTTCAACCAGCACAAGACAGATTTGGAGACTGGCACGACCGAAGCCGCACCTAGGCGTGCCGCCAACGCCTGGCTCGGATCCCACACTGTGGTGGGAGTGCCATAAAGGCCACATTAAAAAGGAGCCATTGCAGCCCGACTCTCAGACCGCCTCCAGTCAAGGAGGAGTTCCAAGTTACCCCGTCAGTTGGCAGCCTTCCAAGCCACGGCTTTTAGCGCACCGTGATAGCTTCAAGTGCGTCAGATTGTTTATAGTGAGGAGAAAGTGCGCTGAGTCGTCGACCTCACTCTCCCTTCCCACTCCCACACCCCAGCCACTGTCCGAGTCGGTCAGTAGACTGGAGTGGGAAATGGGCGCGGTGGTTGGCACGGTCGACTGACCATGCCTGCGTGCGCCACATCACGACCTGGCCCCCCATACACACACAAACACCAGGATTTCACACAACGGGGGTTGAACGGCGTGTCTCTCACTTGCGTGAGAGGGCCGTGGAAGGTGCTGCTTCAGCCCCTCGCCCAGCCCACCAGTCCTCCACTCCACACAACACACACGCAGCGCGACGAACTGCTTAAACCGAGTGGGTGCTTCAATCAGCAACCTTCTTATCCACGACGCTTGACGTTTAGGGATAGTCTCTGACTCAGGTCACCCGTGCAACTGGAGCCGCATGGGGACCGAGTCGAGATGCACACTTCCCACTTGCGTGGGGGGCGGCAGCTGGGTACTTGCGGTGGGTGAGTGTTGATGTATGGTGTGGTAGTGGATGCAGGGCGGGTGTTGTGGTAAGGTGTAGCCGGCGGTTGTCTACCGCAGGTCGTCGTGAATGCGCATGTGGCCGAATAGGTCCATGCGATGCCTGAAAGTGCGAGGACAGTGTGGGCAGTTGAGTCGAGCTTGGTGGGTATAGGTTGGTGCTCCAGGCACTGGTTCTTCAGTCTCTGTGAGATGGATTCGTTAGTGACCACCAGGTATATGCGTGCGGTGAACGTGCGTGGGCAGTGTGGGCACGAGAAAATTGCGATGTCGGTGTCAGCTGCAGAGGAAGCGGTGGTGGTGGTGGTGATGGTGATGGGCGCGCAGGGCGATGGAGCGATGGTGGGGCTGGGCATAGTGGGCGTGTTGGACGTGGTTGGTGTGTCGGAATTGTGGTCAATTCCGCTCTCGTGAATGTGCATGTGGCCGAATAGACCCATGCGATGCGTGAAGGTGCGAGGGCAGTGTGGGCAGTGGAGGCATGTGCGGTGGGTGTAGGTTGGTGCTCCAGGCGCTGGTTCGCCAGTGCGATGAATTCGCAAGTGACCGACCAGGCGGATGCGTGAGGTGAATGTGCGTGGACAGTGTCGGCATGAGAGGATGACGGTGTCAGCGTCAGGGAGAGAGGAGGCGGTGGTGGTGGTGGTGGTGATGGGCGCGGGCGATGGAACGACGGTCAGGCTGGGCATGGTGGATGTGGTGGGTGTGTCGGAATTGTGGTCAATTCCGCTCTCGTGGATGCGCATGTGGCCGAATAGGCCCATGCGATGCCTGAAAGTGCGAGGGCAGTGTGAGCAGTTGAGTCGAGCTTGGCGAGTATATGTTGGCGCTCCAGGCACTGGTTCGCCAGTCTCTGTGCGATGGATTCGCAAGTGACCGACCAGGACTCCGGCAAGCACATCGAGAAATTAGGGCGACCGCAATCAGTATTCGCCATTCAAGCCTGGATACTGTGGACTGTTAGAAAACTCAGCGCCCATGAGAATGTCCGACGACGAACAGTGGAGCCGGCCCGTGCAGCCACAGGTAGCAGTTGATTGGCTGTCGCAAAATGTATTGCTGCCACTTACTCCTGCTCTTTAGGCTTGTTTTATGTGTAATTGACAGCTCTATTTTTCCAAATGGGGTAGAGTGTCATTCTATAAACAAAATGCTACAAGTTTCAGTATGGTCACATTAATACCTGCACAGTGCACTTGAAACACATCCGAATAACTGAGGCGGGAGCGTGGTAAAGGCGTCTGATGTGGTTTGCACGCACCCGCCGCCGCTTCCCGCCACCCGCCAGGTTCTGTTTACATGTGTTGTCGGGTCGGCAGCTAACGCCGGCATACGGTTTGGGCTACTTCGTGACTACAATTACTAATCCTGGATACTGATTGGCCCGACCGGCAACCCGACCTTCTTGCTGTATTGCCTGCACCAGACTGACTTCTGTAGGAGACATTCCTTGACGTTGCCCTTACTGTGGGGGATTGCTAAGGAGAGCTGTAATTTCTGTATCTGAGGCGATGTCTCATAGTTCGGCCGTCGAGTTCAAACATGTCCACTGTCTGCTCCGCAGCAAGACTGAGCAGCTACGGTGACTGGTACCTGAATTAGTTTATAGTGATAGTAGACTTGCGCGGCATCTATCGCACACACTCTCCCCCATTTCCCGCCGAGACCTATTGTTGAGACGGAGCCTAGAATAGCGGAGGTGAAGGGAGGGCGCAGGTGGATGACACGGTCGAGCCCACACCTTGGCGTTCCACTCCACACCCCCCGATCCATACAGCAAATGACCATTTGTTTGACCACCAACAACAACAACACTCCAACAGGGGCCAGAGCGACGAGTGGTATGGTGTATGACTGACCTGCATATGCTGACTTAAACGCATGCGCACGATAGTTACAGTAATGCACAGACTTGAAGGCGTTAATATTTTTAAATGCATTAATGCATTTTCGTCCTGTGATGTAACTGCTCCTGAATCATAGCACACGCAAGAAACGGTAGTCTGGATGCTGGAATGACCGCCGTGATGAATGTTGTCACAACTGTTGGTCATAGGCCATGCTGGATTTGCTTCCACTGATGCTCATATTGTCCGTCGTTATGCCCCAAGTGGAGGAGCAGCCGGAGGTGCGACTGACAGGCAGGGAGAGAAAACATGCTTAGCGGCGCAAATGAGGCGCGCGCGGTAACCTCGCACTCGCCTCTTGCGAGATGCCGTTCACCTATGTTGTTGAGTGAAGACCAGACGTCGGCATACGGTTTGGGCTACTTCGTGAGTACAATTACTACTCCTGGATACTGATTGGCCCGACCGGCAACTCGGCCTTCTTGCTGTATTGTCTGCACCAGACTGACTTTTGTAGGAGGCACTCCTTGCCGTGAGCTCATTGTGGAAGATGGCCAAGGGCAGATCTAGTTTCCGTTGACTGTGCTGACGCGAGCACGCAGCGGTAGTGAGGGGGAAGAACGTCAGCTCCGAAGAAGATTACAGTGTGATCACTGGCACCCATCGGCATAAGATATTGCAGATCAAGCATACTCACCTCATCTAGGGTTCGCAGCTGATCAACGCAGTTTGAAAGTTGTCTTTTTCTAGCATGAGTTCCCAGAATTACATTCTAAAGCAGTAGGTATTCCGCTGCCGTTGTCACAATTTGCGATACTACTAACTGATCCTTCATCTGGCTAGCTGTCTGGAGATTTGCTGCCGTTCCTGAACCAGGCATCCCTCCGCAAGATATTGTCCTCGTGTGTTGTCAAGTTGGCGCCAGACGCCGGCACACGGTTTGGGCTACCTCGTGAGTACCATTACTACACCGGTTACCCGACGTTTTCCTCTGCTGCCTGCACCAGACTGACTTTCTTAAGCGGCATGCCTTGCTTCCTTGGTTTTACTGAGGCGATTTCCTCTAAGATGTTACGCAAAGCTAAAATGCGCTCACTTATCTTCCCGTCTATAAAACTAAATTAAGTTTTTAAAGCAAGCATAGACGACAGAATTTATTGGAACCAATAAATTGTGCGACGGCTTATCAAATGCAACCTGTCGTTGCATAACACAGATAACAAGGGAGAAAGATACAGAGGCTTCAACTTCCACTTCGAAATTGTTAGCTTAAAATGCATTTTTGGCGGATCTACATATTCGAAACGACATAAAAATACTGGGAGATCCACTGGGGAGCCGAACTGCTCGCATTTGCGTTATGCAGTCGGAGAGACAGGGACAAGACGTATTTCTGGGCTTTTCAACTTACATTTGGAGTCCCTGTTAAATGGCGCCATTTACATTAATACATTTAGCATGAGAGCTAGTTGTTAACACAGTCTTCTCGCAACACCTTGTTCAGTGCTTCGATAACAGATATGCATTTATTGCATATTACAAAGATTATCATCGGTCAATCCATCCATTGTCAGGATTTAGCTAATTAAAACGTCACAACCAGTAGGTAAAGACCGCATTCGGGATTATACAATATTTCAGTAGGGAAAACAGAGTTAACCGCTGACGAAATTTGCAGTAGATGCCATCAAAATCGTAGGAGGATCCAAACTGCACTATCGCCCTCGTCGTCTGACAAGCCATTGGATGATACTCGTGTCTGCCGGAAGGATATCAATGCAGCAGAGGCAATAAGGCCTTGACGGCTGCCATGACAAACTGAGCGCCTGTGGAAAGTGAGGAACCCGCAAGAAGCCAAGCTTTAGAAATACTCTACTGCCAAGAAGGCCATCAGGAAGAACACAGGCGCTCGTGAAAGGCCTATGGCGAACATGAGTAAACACCATAAAGACTACAGGTAGAACGTTGAGTATGTGCATCCGAGCAGATTATGAAACCGGCAAAATTTGATATCCGCGAATGTCAAATGAAAGTAGGGTATCTTGATAATGATACCTGCAAGTAATAGGGCATCAAATTGCAGACCGCCGGAAGGATACTTGTCCACGCCCCTTGACTCAATCTCATTGCAGATACGAATGCAAGTGGTGACATTTGAACCCCAGAGACGCTAAACAACCTGGAATGAGGACAGAAACTTGGTGGTGCTGAGCAACCATGCCGTATATTTCAACTGCTAACAGATACAATCCGCTCTCTGCCCAAAAAATTACGGATGCCAACGGAAAGTTAACCCCGAGTTTGCGTGAATAAAAGTGTGTGCCTCGTCCTGCGGGCAGCCCTTCCCTGATGCATTCGGCCGAAGTGCGTTACGGAGACAGGAACCACAAAGGATAAGCGGTCTAAAGCGGAAAGAGCACGCGACCACGCCGGTCGCAGCAGACAAGGCCAGCTGGAAAATACACGCGTGAAACCGGCCGGCCAATCAACGCGCGCTGCTTTGCCGAATATTCGTGAAGCCCTTTCACAGGCGTGCGGCGCAAATATCCAAGAAGATTCCGCGAGCGGCTTCCAACGTGAGAAATGGCCAATCAACTTGCGACATGTCATAGGCCAGAATATTCCAGAATACCCACCACGATTGACATGCCATTAGCCGGAAGGTTCGAGAACTGCCAAAACCCCAATAAATGAGTGAGAGCTGATGAATTAAGGGGCCCGCCCTTTTCCGCCGACCTAGAATAAAGTTGTCGTTTCTTGGGTTCGCCTTCCGCCTCCTCCATCGCAGCTGTCGGGATAGGACATAATGCATAAACTCCGGGTTACCATGACGATAACATGGAAGACACCAGACAATGTGCCTCCGGGACAGTTATTTTATGAATTGTGTTATGACTCGAAGGAAAGGTGGAATAGAAAGGGTGCCAGTCCGGAGAACAAGTACTCTATTGACAGCCTGCGAACACGAGGGGTTCCAACTCGTCAGAAATGCCCTTGTTTATGTCGGCTCCTTTGCCTTAAGGAAAATTTCGACCAATGGTGTGCCGGCCGTGGAGGACGTTTTAGAACGCTCGTGCGCATGGCGTTCAGGTCGCGGATTGGTTACCGCGTGCGCGAGAATCCCCCGCGAAAAAGTCTCGAATGTTCGACCAGCCACGCGTGAGCAAAGCCACCACATGTGCGCTCGGCGCTGCGGTATCACGCCGGTCGGCCGCCTAACCTCACGCGTGTATCACGCCGCCGACTTTGTCCTCTGTTCAGCGCGCGCTCTACATAACAAATTGTGTCGCAACACTTTCGGAGGTCAGATGAAGCCACAAAACTTGGAATATCCGCCATATCTTTAGCCAAGCCTCCGGGGACGATTTGCGCTCAAATACGAACCACAAAGACCTACGACACCTGTTGTACGGTCCGCGTCGTTGTGCTCGACTTAGACGGGGGCCAGAAATGCGAGAACTAAATGAACTGCCTACGGTTGAAAGAACTCGACTACATAACTAGACCGGGTCCGATTTCGCAAACGGCGGATTTCTACTGAAATAGGAATTACAAAGGAAACCTCAACTCATCGGTGGTATTGTCCAGCTTGAAATCAAAAATTTGGTATAGAATTGTACTTTTTGTTCAGCTTTCCTTCACTGACTACGCCCGTTACCTTTTGAAAGCACATTAACTTTCCAACCAACCACGCAGTTTTTATCCGCATGTGGACTGCTGCGATTTGGGGATGTTAACATGATAAGCCGAATCGTCTCATTATCAAAGGGCCGCCGTCTCTCACCGTTTGCATTTTTAAAGAGTTAAAAAATCGAAGTCGGTCCTACAACACTATACAACGCGGAGACCAACAGCACTTAAAAGCAGCCACCAAACCAACATGTGGTATGACCATTTCTGAAAACATTTCCGCTCACGCCTTGCAGCACCAGAAGCCCTGACGAAATAGGCTCAGATGTTTTTTAGCTGCAAAGCCGGTTACACCCTCATCCTGCCTGTCATCCCAGCAAAGTTCACGAGACAATAGCGTGGGCCGGATAGCTCAGTCGGTTAGAGCATCGTGCTAATAACGCGAGGGTCGAGGGTTCGAGTCCCTCTCTGGCCATGAGTTTTAGCTTTGCGAACCATTTTGAAAATTTGTCATCTAAATGCGCTATAAATCTTGCCTGTTCTCGTAAACATCGCGCCATTCCCTTAAATTTGCAATGTGGAGGCTCTGGTTTTCACTCAAATGCCTTAATTCTGCTTGCATATCGTCGGAGGTCAAATAACTCAAACAATTAGGAACACTATGAATGGACGCGGGCTGGTCTGCTCGACTTCGGACTAACCTTTCGTCGACAGAAAGAAGGCAGTCATTTTTAAGTAGCACTTGTTAGTAGTCTCTCCGGAACAGGAGTCGCACTTCCGCTAAAACAGTGCCCTGCAAAATGCCAGTATCACCGGCATTTTCTCAGATTGATTAGAAGAGACTGAATTCATTCCGAACAAGACTATGGAAGCAACTGAAGCAGGCTTGGTGGCTTTGCCACAATTTGGTAAGATGTGGTTATGTAACCTCACCTGATGGATGCAATGCTGTTAGAGTTGGGATTAGGGGTTAGGCTTAGGGGGTTAGAGTCAGGGGTTAGGATTAGGGCAACTATTTATCAACCGCTCAAAGTATAACTACGCATTCCCAATGGTTTTTCTTTTGCATACAACTACTTGACCTCGTTGCCTGTGCGTTCCCGGGCTCCACCTGTAAAACCCCTATTACCACCGTTCCCGTGTTAGAGGTGACTGGGATTTGTTTACTTCAGGTGGGGCTAAATAATCAAGTCCGACCCCATCTTCCTGTCTAGTCATGAGGACAGCTAGGAAAAATAGCTTGTTACACTGCTCCTGTTTCATTGTTAATTTAATTTTAGGATTGAGACTATTCATGGCAACGAGTAGGTCTTTGGCTTCCTTGTTGTTATCAACAATAGCAAAAATGCCATCTACATATCTTTTGTACAGTGTTTTCATACTCGGTTTAGCTGAAACTTTTCTTCTAAGTGACCCATAAAAATGTTAGTAAGAGTTGGAACAAGTTCACTACTTGAAGAAGGAGACACGATCGCCGGGACAAGAGCTTTATTAGCCTGACGTTTCGGATTCCTACTCGAATCCATCATCAGAGACAAAAGAATAGAAACGGGTGGTCGTTGCACAAGGGGCTGTGGTATTTATAGGGTGCAGTAGCCATGCTGGTTGGCTGGCTTGTTAACAGGCTCAGCTGGTGCTCCTCTGCGTGTGTGGGCGTCGCATGTCGAACTCGCGAGTTTACGCGAAACTTCCCGAGATGGCCCTTCGCACGAAAGTGTGACCTCGTTGGAAGACGAGCCTGATTACTTCATGGCCTGTGCAGCATCATGTCTGCACTTTGACCGCCGCCATTTGGCAGAGGTCACCGCGTTCCCGAAATGGGGTGTCTGCAGTGCTGGTGACTTGCGGGTGAATTATTTTATGATGGGGCGGACATGCGTAGCATCTATCTACCAGTGTCTACGCAAAGGAGACGAGAGATGAAATCTAACCGATCCTGAATTTTGGCAAGACCGTTCGTAAGTTAAGAATGTCACGGAAGTCGTCAGTCGCCTTCTAACACCTCTCAGAATTGGTGTTGCACACTGACCGGAGGCAGCCAAAAGGCACCATATCATGAGACCGAAAGACACATTGCCACGGCAATCATTTTTCGGAATCCTTTACCGGATCTGCATTGGAGAAGCCTGGAAGACTAATCCAGACGCGAATGGTGACAACCGAGTGAGCCGTGAACCGCTCGAGTCATGATTGTCCGGTTCTCAATCAATCAACAAGCGCAACAACCTCCCCCGTACTTCAGTTTCAGTTGATTTGAGGGAAACATAGGTGTTGAGCCTTTGAACTCCCTATTTGTTACAAGGAAGCAAATTATATAAAAAACTTGAAAATGGAATCATCAAAGAGCTACAGAAGTTTATTAGATTAGCAAAGATTTCGAAACCAGACAGATAAACGAATTTTTCCAAGTGTTAAAAACATTAACGTTATTAAAGGTGCTGAACAGTTGTCTGTCTATGCATAATTAGTGCTGTCTGAGTTTCTGAGGTAGAAGCATTGAAGGCCAACTCTCATATCCAACGGATCTGGGACAATAATAAAAAAGAAACTTTACTGAAAGATAGGCAGTAATATAATAACATTAATATACTGCTCGAACGAAATGCTTGCATAGGCTTAGTCGCAGGGAGAGAGTGCGCATGACCACGGTTGCGGTTGTCAACATCGGCGGCCCAAATTGCCCAGAGCTGAGCAATAGCGCGCACATTCATCTCAGTGGTTAACTAGTTGACTGGCTAATTCACAGACTCAGCTGATGCTCATCTGTGCGGACGTCGTATGTCGAACTCGCGAGTTTACGCGGGACTTTTCTTGTTAGCTTGCATTCTCGAAGATATACAAGGCAAAGCCACAAGCACTTATCTTGTTTCGGTCTCGTCCTAGCACTTGATAGTCATCAGTTTGTATCTCGCAGTCTTTGACAGAAGTGGAATAGCGGCTGGTGTACGGGGTGAGAAAACATGCTCATCGGTGCATTGAAACGCAAGTGCGCCGAACCTGGTCTACACCCACCCGCCGCCGACGCTCGCGTGATGCTGTTCATGGGTGTTTTCGAGGCGGCGCCTGACGCCGGCACACGGTTTGGGTTACTTCGTGCTAAAGGTTTCCTTCCATGCAAATTACCTGACCCAACCGGCAACCCGGCTTTTCACTGAACCGGACTGACTTTTGTAGGAGGCATTCTTCACTGCATAGAATAGGGGTGGAGCCTCTGGCTGACTGTGCGTACTCTCCACCACACTCAGTCACTTGTGGTTTTCCTGTATCTCATCTACTGGTCGCTGACGAACAGGCTACTTATCCCGCGCTAGGTACTGGTCATTCTGCCGGTGTACCCATTTCCCTTGGTTGCACTATTTTGCGCCTTCCCTGGCGACGTCAGTAGTAATATCTCCGTGCGGTAGGCGATCATAGTGCTTCGATTCTTGTGAGATTGTCGGTTTTCCTACAGAAGGAGTCGATACTCCCGTGTGAGAACGTCGCTTGCCGAGCTGTCGACTGTTCATTAACTTTAGTCAAAATGTTCAGGGAGTCTTTAGACGGAGATGGTACGTGTGAACTCGTTGGGAGAGGAAAGTTACCCCTGCATATCTTGTCCAGGTAAGTATCATGTACAGTAGGTGGCCTTATTCATAAAATGTCAACCGAAATTCCAAAATGTGTTTTCGTTTCGAAAACAATTAATTAAGTAGGGATTTAACACTAGTCAGCCTCAACATAATTCTATAATATTTCAGTTACCTTAGGATGCCGGCTTTAAGAATGAACTTCCTTCCGGCTGCATGCAACAACTACATTCTGTAAGAAAGGATTACTTATGTAGCATGCAATTTCCTCATTGATTTTCTAAGCCCTCAAATACTCATTTATATGTAATGGAAAGCATGCACAAAAATATTCATTCTTCTGCGCCTTCGGCAAATAAAACTACGTCTTCTTCTAACTTTATACTCGAAGGAAGGGTATAATTTGGTTTTCAAACACTTTTCCGATTCCCGATTAATTTTGAGCCCGCTCTACCGTTACACGTGCATTCAGCGTTTACATACTCCAAACCGTATATTTTCCGCGTACAAGAAACTACATATTTCTCTACGGTAAGAAAGGGGACCATATATTTTTCATAAAATTTGACAGTGAATTTGATTCATATTGTTAACTTTACAAACCACATTAGTAAAGGCAGAAACAAAATGATTTATGAACGGCCATTTCACGGTATTTTAAAGTCCCACTTTTTAAAACCGAATGATGTCCTACCTTCGAATATAAAATTATGAGAAGACGAATATGCGATAGAATAAACATTTTTATTCATGTTTTGCATTAAATATAATTGGACTTTTAGGAGCATCGAAAATCTATGAGAAAAAATGCCTGCTAAATAAGCAGTCATTTTTGCAGAGTATGGATTTTGCATGCAGCCGGAAGGAAGTTCCTTCGAAAGCCGGCATCCTGAGGTAACTGAAGTATTATAGAATTATGTTACAGGCTGACTAGTTTTACAACCCCACTTAATTAGTCTTTTCGCAACGAAAACGAATTACGGAATTTCGGTTGACATTTCATAAGTTAGCCCAGCTACTGTACATATTAATGCAGTTGGACTGAAAATGCGAGCACTCGCATACGTTCCTTGCGCCACAATATTGAGAAGTCTGATGAGCCCCCTAAACGGGGTCTAGTTGGCAGTGTTATATTCAAAGTTATGAGACCGTCGCCTGACAGAAACCACGCCAGCAGCAGCAGCAGCAGCAGCAGCAGCAGCAGCAGCAGCAGCAGCAGCAGCAGCAGCAGCAGCAGCAGCAGCAGCAGCAGCAGCAGCAGCAGCAGCAGCAGCAGCAGCAGCAGCAGCAGCAGCAGCAGCAGCAGCAGCAACAGCAGCAGCAGCAGCAGCAGCAGCAGCAGCAGCAGCAGCAGATGCAGTAGCGGTGACATTAGATTCTTTACGTAAACATTAACTGACTATAAATGACATATGTATTCAATAGTATTTTCTGCATAAAGTCTGGGCAAGCAGTCATCTTGCTGAACTTCCTCTCATTTGTTTACATGCGGGGCACTGATCCGTCACGTCAGCGATCCTGCGTCATTCACGCATACGCATTCAACGGGTTGCCCTGTTACCTGAGGCAGTGCAATTCCCTATCGTTAGATTGGCATAGCCAAAAAAATAAATAATCTCAGTGCAGCCTGACATTGCTGCTATGCTGGTATTGAGATTTCTAGAGGAATCCCCTGCATGTATTATCCTGCTATTTATTAGTTCGATCACAAACAACTCGTCACTCAACCGCTCTTTGGTAAATGTAAAATAAAGTGGTTACTGGAATTCAGGCAATAATATTCGATGATGCAATGAAATGGGACAGCATTACCCTAGTGATCTGGTGTTGGTGGTGCCGATGACGTTGGAGTTGCGTTGACAAGATCGGTGATTTTGCGTTAGAATTTTTGCACTGCTGGAAAGGATGACGTGGTTGTGGCTGTTGATGTTCGTGCCGATGAAGTCGTTCTTAATGATTATGAAGAGGATGGTGGTTGTGCTGATGATGTCGTCGATAACGACGAAGAAGATCATTGTAGGCAGAATGATATTACCGACAAAGACAAGGGAGACTGGAATGGCCATTCCTGGCTTATTCGCCGTCGTCAGCCAGCCATACCCAAGCCCGAAGTCTGGAACACCCGAACCTCGAACTTGCGAACTGTTGGTTTAGAAGTCAACGCCTCTACTCACCGGGCCACGAGCCCGTTGCCCTGTCGGTTTTCGATCGGGAATATACAATGTTAGGGGGCGCTCACCGATCCGTATGAACGATCGGTGAGCGCCCCCTAACATTGAAGATTATTGTGTTAGTGATGATGGTTATATTTATAAGGATTGTGGTGAAGATGATGATGACGATGATGAGGATGATAATGATTACGGCATTACCTCTACTTTCGGTTTGACTTACGTCAGAATGTCAGACGTCCACCATCACTCCGTTCATTATTATCAGCACCTTCTCTTCTTACTCTTTTTCGTTTCCATTTCCATTTTCGACGTCCTTCATTACTTCCTCTTTTGTATAGTGTAGTCTGTAGAATATGACCGGGAATTTCCCATGCCGTTCGTCTGAGTAGACGTTCCTTTAAATTTTGATTCCCAAAACTACTTTTAAAGACTTCAGTTATTTCCTTTGACAGTTCGGCTTATTTAAAGCAAAAGATATGCTCACCCCAGCGGGTTTATTTAGATGCTGACGTTTGGAAGAGTTTGGTCGGCTCTGCATTGTCAAAGCGTAAAGTGCGCTTAATCGACCAGAAATCCCAAGTGGCACGTCACGTTGGTCGGCCTCATGCTGATCGATTTTTTTCTCCTCTCGCTGCCTCGGCCTCTCGGGAGATGGTTGACGGGCGTTTTGTCGGCGTGCTTTGTGAGTCACCACTACGTCGGGATGAGGTGATTGGACCTTTGTCGGGTGGTCGGTCTGGCGGTTCTTGTTCTTTCTCACCGAGTAAACTCGTCGTCCGGCTGTCTCCGCATGGCCTTTTTAAGTCCACTGTGGTTGTTTGGTCCTGAGCTCTACGATTGTGATGACGTAGGACTTTGAAAGCTGCGGGAAGGTCCACATGCCTGTTGATGGAGTGGGCATTGGAGTACCACGACTCGAGATTTGGCCCTTCTGCCTTTGTGTTGTCCCGGCCTAAGATGGTAGCTCTCCGGAAATCGAAAGTATGCCCAGTTTCTCCAACGTGTGCTGCTAGTTGAGAGTTAGGGTCTAACCTTCGAGTGGCCGATTTGTGCTCTTGTAGGAGAGTCTGCAATTTCCACTCGGTTTATTCCACATAGTTGCAGCCGCCCTCATTGCAATTTATTTTGTAGATGATTGTTGAGGTTTCGGCGGGTAGCAAGGAGTCCTTAAGTTGCATCAGGCGGCGTCGAATTGTTGCCTGGGTAAATGGGCTATGCCTACTCTGGCAAGTTGTAACGGTCGAGATACCGCCTCAGAGACCCCTTTAAAGTAGGGAATTGCCCTTCAGACTTCGGGTTGCTGCTGATTTGGTCATCGTCTGTCGACTTTCGCTGCTCTCGATAAAATGTCTGGGATAACTATTGGCTGCAAATAGGTTCTGAAGGTCCAGTCGCCCGACTCTTTTATCCTCTGGCGTGCTGCAGTGTGTTTATACTCTTTGGAATGGATTGCGGACACAGCTACGTTTGCAAGATAGAGGTTGGTTGCAGTTGAAGTGTAGCATCTGGCTCGTTTCGGTGGATTTTTTGAATACCGTGGTTTGCAGTTGTCCATTTGTACACCGGCCCATAAGCTCGTCAAAGAAGGGCAGCAGACACTGCATTCCCTCTAGAGTTCATTGCCGCTTTTGAATATGTTCTTCAACTAACGCAAGCATCAGAAGTGACGAAAGAGTTGATTTTCCACAAAACCTCCTCTTTGTTTATGCAACACAAGAAGAATGAATCTCTCAGCGAAGAAGATCCGCAAGCGTTAAAAAGCCTAAACGCGGATAAAGACAAGATCATCCTGCCGGCTGACAAAGGTCGTGGTACAGCAGTGTTTGACGAATCTGATTATCAGAAGAAGGCTTTGAGCCTACTCGACGATCTGCAGTGCTATAAATGTTGTCCAGTCGGTGAGATGAAAAATCTGCTTACACCGTTTGCTCTCTTTCTTTAGCACCAGTAGTGACCACGCATCATTTCCCATGCGCGTATGTTGATATTAATGCCTCATCTAGCCGCATCCACTGTAGCTCCAGTCGACTGTGGGCCAGTCAACACTGGAAGAGCAGGTGTAGGCGTGCATAAGTGACGCGCAGCATCAACTCGCCCCACCGCCAGTAAATATTCATGTTCGCTAGCAAGTTCACGCGCGTCGCCGGCAAACGGTTTGGGCTACTTCGTCGAGATCATCATGCCCGATTGCTTGGCACGGCCGGCGACCCGGCTTTTGGCACTGCCTGCAACAAGTCCACTTTTATGCATGCCCTGAGAGTTGGTTTGTGGTAGGAGACATTGGAACTCATCACCTGCTTCTACGGGCAGGCCGAGTGAGTGGATGTTTGTGGTGAGTGTACTCAGAGCCAATCCCACATAAGGACAGCTGGGGCGTCGATTTCGACAATGTACGCCGTGTGCTCTACAGCAGCAGGGTGAGAGGAGGGACAGCGAATTGAGCGCGAATTAGTTTATGTTGACATGTGTTGCATCTACCACTTCCTGGCCTGTCCTCATCCTCCAAGTTTGAGTCAAGCAGACCGGATATGAGAGAGGTCGCAAGTGGCTGACATCACGAAACACAAACAGCCAAGAGGACGGATCATATCACACATATAACAGTACATCACATTTACATTATTCACTGTCTTTTGCATTCAACCTCGTGAGCTCAAGGACAGAACGTCTCACAGTTTGTGCTTGGTACTCAGATGCCAATGCCACCAACAGGCATCTAGACCTTCCTGCGGCCTGCGAAGTCCTACGTCGCTACATGCACCATGACCAGGACAAGACGGTCCCACGGAGCTTAAGAACACACACGGCCCGTCGATTAATTTACCCAAATGGCGGACATAAGCGGAACTGACCCCAAACTGGATGGCGGCACACACCACAGAAGGCCACCATCAATCAAAAAAGACGGTCAGAGGGCCGAGGCGACGAAAGAAGAAAAAATCGATAAGCCTAACGACAGCGTATCCGGCTGTTTATTCAAAATTCTGGTCGATTTTGCCCTAAACGTTTTGAAATTTGAGAGTCGGCCAAAGTCTCCGAAACGTCCGCTATGCAATTCCCTTGATCCGGTGAGCACTTCTTTCTTCTCAGATCACCTTCTATTAATTGCCAAATTTCGTGTCTACTGAGTACTAGGCAATAATAGATTATCCGAAATTTAAAACGCAGGCAACAACATTACGGGAAAGCGGGTTGACACCATGCTTAACTTTCAGGCAGACCATTCAGCTTTTCGGCTTGTCATCAAGGGCGCTCCCGCCAACAGACCAGTTTGCTACACCGTGCCAGCCACCTGCGTATCATTACCCGTCCCAGTGCCCACCATCTCCTTCTCCGCCCTGGCACTGAAAGCAATTTTATCTTTCACCTCACCCACTCAGTCCCTCCCCCCAACCCCCCGCTACTGAATAACTTCTGCTTGCCCGCATTTTCCTTTTAATAATTTCGACAGCAATATAAATGTATAGACCTGATGAGAATTTATCGAAAGTTTATGTATGCACGCCAAATTGTCTTTTGAATTCTTCAATGGGAATTTTTACAACTCTAAAACTCAACACTCTTTAGAACACTTCTGCTTTATTGGACAGTTTGAAAAAGCGACAATTTTTCACCAAACGAATACGAGAAAGGATATTTTGTGCATCCAAGGACTCCTGAGTTTCTTTAACCTGCATGAAGAGCATGTCAAATTTCAGTAAACGAACCTTTTGGACAATTTCAGTGGAATTTTTTTCGAATTCGTTAAACCATCTAGGACCAGCATAAAAATATATGCCAGTTGTTTCCCTCGTTAGCTAAACCGCCAATGCTGGTCTGGAAGACGCTTTTGCAGATGATAGCACTTGTTGGCCTAATAATTGTCTTGCGATTATATGCCAGATCGATAAATGCCCCAAGTCCAACCTGCTAATGGTTGTTTGGTTGGGCTTCCCAAAAGTAGAGCCTTAAAAAGAGTCACCGCATATAGAAGTATACAGTTTGGGACAACTATACAGCTACACGGCTTCTGTGAGCAGCAGACGGTACGTGTTCTCCTACAAACCATGCTGTTTGCATTTGTGAATTTGAAAGCGGCATGATGTACTGACTTGAAGGCAGGCATATTTTTAAATACAGTAGTGCGTTATTGCCTTGTGAGGGAACGGTTCCTGTGACATAGCGTTCCCGAGGAACGATAGTCTGAATG